ATCTGCAAAAATGTCAAACATTCTGTGTTTTTCTGTCAATATGGGGTGCTGTGTGTACATTAATGAGGAAAAAATGAACTTAAATGATTTTAGCATATGGCTGCAATATAACAAAGAGTGACAAATTTAAGGGGGTCGACTACTTTCCGTACCCACTGTATACACACACACACACACACATACAGTATATAACATTGGTAATAATCTTAAATAAACAAATGCAACTCCCTTTTCATCTCTTATTTCTAAATGGCAGCTACAGCCTTAGGTTACATCATCTATGCCATCCTGTTCCAGTGTGCTGCTGTCTGACCTCTTCATCCGAGCAGTTGTTCCCCACTGCCATGCGAAAGAACTCTGTCAGCGAGCTGAGCAGGTCCAGCCACTCTTCCAGGCTCCAGGTAGCGCTGTAATCACCCCTATGAGGAGTCTCACGGCCACACAATCCATCCACCACCCTGTGACACAGCTGCACACCAGACAATAGTGTCAGTTTGGCATTAGGTAAAAAGAACAAAAAAAAACACAAGACCTGAATGTTTCCTCTTTTTATGCCACTGTGCTGGCAATAGGCGTTGCCGGAGATACTACATTTTTGGGTTGTCCATCTGTACAGCTCATTTTTGTGAACGCGATCTCTCAGGAACGCCTTGAGGGATTTTCCTCAAATCAGGCATAAGTGTCCACTTGGATTCAAACATGAACTGTTTAGGTTTTGGTGGCCAAAGGTCAAGGTTGGTGACCTCACTTCTGTCCCACACCCATGAATCAGACTGACCGGTGGAGGCATACAACCGCGGAGCTGTAATTTTAGTTAAAGCTGCAATCTATATTTTTATTGTTATATAAATGTTTTTTTATTGCAACACAATATAACACATTTACAGAACAAAGGACATAACATAGAAGATGAGACAACAGACATTAACAAAAGAGACAAAGGGGTTATGAAATTTAGTTTGTGTGTGTGAAAGTGTGTAGTGTGGGTGTATTCAGTGGGATGGGGGGGGGCAGGGTGTTAAATCAATAAAGGAACAGTATACTGGTGATGCCCCCACCCTGAACCACCAGCACCAGGTGAGGTCAACACTTGGGGAGCTCTGGAGGAGCTCAGCATGGTGAGGTCGTCCAGGGCAGCAGGACAGCAGTGTGCTTGTGTCATGGTTAAATTAAACCTTCCCTTTGTTTTACAGTTCATCACAGTTTATGTTAATAGTTGATTGTTGGGACTTAAACAGCTTGGGGTCGGCCCCTGACCTTGGCAGGAGAGACCTGACCCCATGTGTGGCATGTTCCCCTCCTAAACAGCTCTCAGACCCTGAGGAGGGAGCTTGTCTAAGAGGTAAGTTAGTAATGCTATATGGAGATAAGTTAGTAATGCTATATGCAGTTGGGAAAGGAAACAGTGACCTGGCCTTCCTCCCCCATGCTGTGCCCCGCTGCTGGGGACAGGACGGGGCATCCCCTAATACAACTCCTGGTTTGTTAATGGTGGAGAAAGATGAAAGGGTAAATAAGACAGTTTGGTAGAAAATGGATGATTGTAATAATAAAATAACAAAAGAAAAAAAAAGCAATTTCGATAAAATAAATACAATATATAAATATTCATACACATATACACAGATATATATGTATCCACATATTCATCATACAAAATAAATGAAATTAACAAATCAGCAAATGATTAGAAAGAGGGACAAAAAGGGGAAAAAAGAAAAGGGAGGGGGTAGGTTATATTTTTAGTTAATCTAGTTTGATAGGTGTGACATACTCAAAACAGTAGCATGGACAATGAGGACTAACAACAACAGTAACAATAATGAAATAACAAGCAACTTGTTATATTTGTGGAGTTTGTGGGGATGTGTGTGGCCTCAGCCTCAGGTGTCTGGTTCAAGTTAAAAGAAGTTAGAAGCGAATTCCAAGTGTCCATAAAAGTTGGTATATTATTCTTATGGGTGGATGATATTTTCTCTAGTGTGATATTATACTCTATAAGAAGGTTGGTCCGATGGTTTATGTGTAATAAAATTTTTGATTTCCACTTTGTAAAGATTCTTTTCTTGGTAATAGTTAGAGAGATAAGAAGTGGGTTTTTATATTTAATTGGTAGGTGGTTGACTTCTGCGACATTACCGAGCAGCCAGAGTGATGGAGATGGAGGGATTCTACAGCTCAAGATGGTGGAGAGTTTCTCTGACACCGCTACCCAGACGGAGTAAACAGGTTGACAGGTCCAAATAGCATGGAAGTAATCATCGGTGCAATCCAGAGTGCATTGTGAACAAGTATTTGTATCAGTGAAACCCATTTTAAACATTTTACCTTGTGTGATGTGAGTCCTGTGAATATTCTTATATTGTATAAGAGGAAACTATATTGGTAGTCATGGAGAAGATATTATTACAGATCTCGGTCCAGAAACACCTAAACTGCGTGTGTGTGTGTATGTATGTATATAAAAAGATTTTTACTTTCCTAATGCACTCCTTTTTATGTTCTGTTAGCCTTATCTTGTTTACTTGTCTACTCTTTGCTTTACATAAGGACAGTGTACCAGACTCAAATTCCTCATGTGTCCAACACACCTGGCCCGTAAAGTTGATTCAGATTCTGAACTTGAGGACCAAACCAGCCGAAGTTAAGAGGGAAAACAATAAAAGGTTAAGTGTTTCTGTCAGTTTACTACCATTGCTTTTTCAACAGGAAGATCTGTCTGCATGCATACCTGCTACGCAAAATGCATACAGGTTGGCAAGTCTGACTTGAGCCCGTGGCCCTGAGGAACTATCTGCACGTCCCTGATCGATTCATACATATACCAGGCGCTGTGCATCTCAAACGAGCCTAATGGCGAAGAGTAGTGCCTGGCTCCAAAACCTGCAGCCACCCCTAAGCTCATGAGGTTATCGCTTGTATGACCTCAAAGCAAGCTGAAATTAGGGTCAGACGAAGCGCTGATAGCTACGGATTTCGGGCCGATTCTTCACAGCCTGGCTCATCTCGAACAAGCCCTAAAATGTTGGGTGAAAGCGTCGTTCCGCTTTCACCCACAGTAAGAACTGTAAAACATGTGTGTTAATTACTTTCATGTTTATTAAGGTGCACCCGCCAACTACTCCGGTCAACTTAGGAAACTAAATTAGCATCATTATTCGTGAATACAACGACTGTTACTTACTGTCAGACAATCTGTAACTTGTAACCGACTCAGTAAAGCCGCCATATTTTCCTTTGGTTCCGCCTGATTATCAGCTGATAGCAGTCACATGATAGAATGAGCCGCGTTCACGTAGCTTGGGAAAATGAACTTTGTCACAAAACGATCTTCAATACAGAAGAAGTGCTCAGCGCCCTACACACTACTCGGTATTTTTGACATATACTGGCTTGTATTAAACTATTAATGTAGCATTTCTTACAGAATTTTAATTTTGAAAATCAGTTATTGGGATTCTTCCGGACGACGCTCCACAGAAAAGCGGAACGTCTGGCAGCCCGGTGTTTCTGCTTCCAGCTGTATGCTGCGAGATGCTGTGATCTGAAGCGGGTGATGGGATACGGTCATTGTTCTTTCTTCAATTAAAACATACAGCGTTTGGAAATAAACAGCAGGGTAAGTCACGAACGCAGCCGTGGGTCAAAACAGCTCTTTTTTTAGGAAGAGGTCGGGTATTTGTTCGTGTCTTTGTGGGAACTATGAGTTTAAAGTCCATGGTCATGACCATCTGCATATAACGTTACCTTGACCACACTGTGTTAGGTTCAGTAGTAGATGTGGTAGTCAGGCATGGGGACGCCACCGGGAGGACGGGAATTTTCAACTAACGAGGGGCCGGTGTTCCAGTTTAGTTGGTGTGCAGATTAAGTGGTGATAACGCACTATAGGTAGGGTTCGGGTGTGTGATTTTTCAGGATGTGTGGTCGGCAAACCAGGAAGTAAACATTCTTAATACGATAACGTTATTTCTATAACATATACACATCTTTTAAATATGACAACAAAACGGTCTGGTAGGACATTCGTGCTGCTCTCAAACTGAAAATATTAACCCGCCTCATAAAAATCACTCATTGTCTGGCCAATTGAAGGATTTCAGCAACGAGCTTGTGCTTTATTTTCATGTAACAAAAGCTAACAAGCCATATGCAGAAACCTACACACCAAAACCATGCTTACATCTTTTCCTACCCTTAAACTGCTAGTCTGTGTATAAGCACAGAGGTGCGGGAGGAATGTGCGCACCTCACGCAGACTTTAGCTATAGTCTTGGTTGGAGTAGGTGTGATGTGAAGTGAAAAGAAAGATAAGGGGAGACAGCCCGTTTAAAAGCTAGTGCAGTATTTTGAGCTGTTTACAGATATTTCAGTGCATAAACCTGATTTTTAAACATTGTGTTTATCTGTTCTTTTGTTACTTCTGCTTTTGATGCCACCATAGAGGGGGGTGCTACTAGAAACAGTTTAAACAGCGGGTAACGTATCATGTTAGGAACAGATTTTGACAGCTTTTCTCTTTTCCTCTTCTCCAAGTGTCTCAATTTCACACTCACTGCACACACTTTCACACTTCACTGCCTAATACCGTATGGTTCAGAGACTGTGTCTGTATGCAAATGACTGATTAAAGGTGTGTCTACAGCATTAGTAGATTAATGTATTGCTGAAATTAGGACCTAACACATGCATTAATATTATGTTCTTTTAAATACATTTGACTAATCTACAAGGTATGAGGAAGTTGTTATGGTTAGTCCCCCTCACCCGGAGGTTGAGTGAGAACTTGGGTAGGACTCAAGTTTGCTGACCCAGGTGCTGGTAGAAAAGGTGGTTTAATGACGGGGATCACAAACAGGGACAGAGTCAATGAATACGTACAAATAGGGGTGAGCAAAGACGGCTGAGGAGACCAGGACGACCAGGGGAGTAAACAAGCTAATGGCACAAACCAGGAGAGTGGGAGGAACAGGACGGACAGGTGAATAGACAAACTGACTAGGAGGATTGGCGAACGAAAAAGGAAATCCACAGCACAGGAACTGTCAGTGTGGATAACAAAAAGAACATCTAGCTAACCTAATGGACAAAACATAAAGAGATCCACAGAACAGGAACTGTCAGCGTGGAAAACACAATGATGTACAATACATACCACGAAAAGTGGACTAGGTCTGTTATGTGGTATGCAAGTTAGGTAAGTTAAGTAATGTGACGGTGGAGCGTCTGCCAGAGGTATAAATAAGGAGGGCCTCAATCATCGGGATGCACCCCAGCTGTGCGCACTGACAAACGAGTCGCTAATTACTGAATGCAACACAGCTGAGGTGCAGATCCCGCAGTATCGAGAGAACAGAGGAGAGAAAGGCGGAAGAGAGGCAGGTCGTGCCGAGCGGACCTGACAGAAGTATTGGGAAAGAGACTAGTTGTTGGTTTGGGTCTTTTCCTGGAATTGACCCACACACCTTGCTGACAACAACAAAAATATAGAAAAACAGTGGGGTGATCCGTTAAACTTTCAGACAGCCTGGATAAGAGAGACAAATTACAATTACATTATTATTTGTGGTGGTGGTGTTTTTTTTTTTTCTCTGCAGGATGAAGTTGTTGTGACAGTCCAGTGCTTCTGCTGGGCAGATGGAGCGGTTCCACTGGGTGCAGCATCGTTGTCGGCAGCTGCTAGAAGGACAGTCTGTGCAACACTGGTATTCTGCCCCCAATGGCGTGCCCGACAAAAACTCCCAGGATGCCCATTGCTCTCCACATAGAGTCAGTGGGAAGCAGAGAACAGTGTTTGGCCGCCACGGGCCCCACCAACAGGAATATGAAACCATCTCCAGAAACTACAAGAGCAATGTCATCCGCACCACCAAGTATAACTTGTTGACCTTTATCCCCATGAACCTGTTCCAGCAGTTCCACAGGTCAGATTTCTACTTAATAGTAACACAAAATAATTTAATTAAATATCGTACTGCTTTTTTTGTTTGTTTGGTTTTGAATTTGCTAATGAGAGCTGTCTTAACATGAGAATCAGTTTCATGGAATGTAGTAATTATGCTTGGAATCTACTAATTCTGATTAATGTTATTTAAATGGAACACTTTCATTTTTGTATTAACAGAGCATATGGTACCAGAGTTTATTACATGTATATTTTAGCCTTTGGTTTACACTGTGATAGTTTACCTGCACCAAACATATGTATTTCGGTTCATTGTGGATTATAGTCATAAATGTGTCAGTAGCTTTGTGACCTTGCTCCCAACATGGTCTCATGGAAACTTCTTTGTTGCTAGTTCTCTGATGGATTCAAAATACTCAATGTGATGAATCATTTCAGTTTATTGTATGCTGGCATGGAGAGAGTTGGTGTTCTGCAACAAGTATTACCAAACTCTATGCATTTATACTGTTTTGCAGAAAGAAGGGCCCACGCCCTGCTGGCTTGGTTAATCCAAAGAAAACAATTACTGTATACTGTTTATTACTCACTCGGTTTGCAGAGATCCTTAAAGCTATAAACCCCACCCACTTTAATTTTCCTAGAAAGTAAAACCGCAAACTTCATTTGTTCATTATTCTCCTGGGTAGTAAAACAATAAAACTTGTGTTGTTGGTATGAACCATTCTTTTAGATAACACACCCTATGTGAGGCCTTAAGTATATTACCACTCATTCGTTTCAACTCAGCAAGTTGAACTTGTTCTGTGGCTTATGTCCCAGTTGTTATCTTTTGGAGATCAAATGTTGAGACTGAAATGTCATTCAGTTTCCGCTCCAACTCTACGCACAGCATTACCTTTGGAACAATGTAGTTCTGTGCAACTTCCGTGCCTGTGAATAGCGACAAACAATGACCGACTATGTTAATATGCAAACTGTATTCCAGATATAATCCGATGTCCATATTATAAGTCAAGTTCAGCTCTTTCTTCACTGTTGATCCTATATTACTGTTATCATAAAGTTGTTTATCACCTGGTTCTGCTGACTGGGTTTTCTAATCTGGCTATGAGTGGTGTTCAGGTGACAGAGTTCTTAATTACAAGCCAAACACTAGCTGAGAAACATGAGCAGAGTACATTAACTTAATAATTAACAATGAAAGCAAAGAGATTTTACTGATCTGTTATTAAGGATGTACTGATCTAGCTTAATATCTGGTATCTGCTGATACCATGTCCGATCCATTACTTAAATTTGCTAAATAGTACCCTCCAGAGTTTGCTGCTTTGGTGCTTCAGAGAATCGACATTTGAATGGCTTGTGGGCGGGTGATTATTTGAGTTTATTTAAGTTTCTCTTTTCTGCTGTGTGCACAGGTTCAGTAAAACAAAAATATGATGATAATAGGATCTAAAAATCTACAGTACACACCAAATTTTAAGTGACACCGACACTAAATACTGGTATGCTTGTAGTTGCCCTCAACCTGTCAGGGCAAGTACAGGTTGAGGGCAACTGTAAAGAGGCATCACTCTGTAACACCACTGAAAAATTAGAGCAAACTGAGTGTTTCTCTGTAGCTCCAACAAGCCCAAATGTGTGAGACAGTTTTACCAGTGAATATATCAGTTGATTTTACATCAGTGATGGAAATGTAGCACATTCTGCAGAACTTTCATTGGCTTTTGTGCGGGGCATACTTATTTTGAATCCTGGTAAATGATTTGGTAATCTGTTACAATATGCGGACCCCAGGTCTTTGGTTAGAGACCTGGCTTTCCGGTATGCACATCAAAGTCTGAGACTCTAAGGTGGGATAGTTATGTATCTGCCCTGTTTAATGTGGGTGATGGGGTCTGACAGAGAGTATCCTATCAGCTTCTCCATTTAACTTTTATGTGGATGACTTGTCAGTATGACTTAATGGCTATAGGACAAGGCCGTATGACTGTCAGTTCACTCATCAGTCATCTAATGTATGCTGACGACTTGGTGATTTGTTTTGTTTTGTTTTTGTTTTTTTGCCCATATAGTGTTGGTCTGCCGTTTTTGGAGATTTGCTCTCAGTATAGATTGTAACATGATATCAAATGTACTGCTTTACAGAGTAACATCATGATTGTGAGAACTAAGGCTGATTTCTTTCTTTCAGATGCCCCCTGAAGGGGTATTCATATATCAGATATTTGGGACACTATATCACAAATGACCTGTCTGCTGATGGGGGCATTTTTAGGCAGTATCAGTATCTGATGTTTATGATGATGTCCAGGCTTATTGACTCATTGATTGACTTATTGACTGTGCCAGATACTACAGTACTATGAGGTTCACTTCTAGACTGTGTAGCTGTTGGTGTGCAAGCCTAAATTTTATATAATTTAAATATAACCTTGTTTATCTTTTATCTTTTTTCTGGTTTTTCGTTGTAGTGTATGTATTTATTATGGCCTATGAAAAGGAAAGTAATTAACTATAAACGAGAGAGAATTGTGGCTGACTGGACAATGGGACTTGGTATGAATCACAGTATAAATGACACCAGCCTGGTTTCAAAGAAAAAGGATGGATCATGCCTACTTTTGGAGTCAGTTGGACCTTGGATGATGGCACGGTACCCTGATAAGGTTTGGTTCAGGCTCGGTTGTTGTTCCAGAACAGCACAGGGTGGCCTTTCCCTAAGATGCTCATCGGTCTGGCTGGTAGTGGCTGGTCAGAGTTCGATAATTCGTTTCAGCAACTCTGGAGATCCATTGTACATGCAACAGATGATGCAACTGGGACTCAGGAGACTGATTCAGTGGGCACCATTAGCGATTGAGGTATGCAGAGGTGAATCTGAATTTTGGATGCAAAAATACTAATTATCTAAAGTAACTACACAAATGAAACTTGACTACGGCAGCATGTAGCTGCCACCATGAGAAAATAAAATGCTCAGTATCTCATTATAAAGCAAGTTTCTCATTGTAACAAGATACTTTTCTCACTGTTACAAGATACTTTTCACATTAAAATGTGTTTTTAACATTATAACAAGATACTGTATTTTCTTATTATAATGACAAATATTGTAAGTTTACTGTCACACCAGTGATTCTCAAGGACCAGCTGGAGCACACCTCCTAAGCCCAGTTCTGGTCATTGTGTGTAAAGTTGGTCTCATGAAAATGGGTAATGCAGGGACACCACCACTATGGGATATGGAGTACTCTAGCATATACATTCGTCACAGTTGGTATGTGTGTATGCAACTGGAGGGGTGCTCCAGCTGGTGCTGTGTGCAGTGGTCCACTGATGCTTCTGCAAAGGGGAATGCAAGGTCTCGGCAGGCAGAACTTGGCATAACACCCGTCTTGAGAATAACTGTAGAAATAATCCAATCTGGAGTGTGTGTTACCACGTGAGATTACACGTTAGATCATGCACAGCACTAGCTGGAGCACCCCTCCAGCAGGTGCTCTCTCATCAACACCCATACGACCTTCCACACAGTGACCAGCGACGATACCCTGCACATCCTGGTCATGTTACAAGCATTACTGACAGCAGGTAAAGTCAGTCTCTCCGCTGCTGTCACTCACTAAAAGCTGTGCCGGCTCACATTAAAGAGTAGAAGTCATATGATCTTTTCTACAATGTGTGTTATAATATTAGATGGTTCTTTAGGCCATAAACCTGAAACTATATTTCACTGAAGTTATATTTATTATGAAAAAATACAGTATCTTGTTATAATGTGGAAAAATACATTTTAATGCAAAAGGTTTTCATAGAAACAAGAAAAGTAACTCAAACTTTTCTCATTATAAAGTGATACTGAGCAAATTTTTCTCAGGGTGGAGGCAATATGTTTCTGTACTTAATTCATCTAAAACTTTACACTTGGTATCATGTGGCATGGCTTGCGAATAAGAAAAGTAAAAAAGGACTTGAAGTCTTGTGTGCAAAGTAACTTTGGCACAAAATAAAGAGTGACAAGAAGATACACTTCTGGAGACAGCTGTTAGATTCTGTTCTGCTCTAGTGAAACTTGGATTGCCCATTTTTTTTAAAGGGAAGAACCTTGTGGGGGTTGGCCACAGCCCTGAATACTCTTGTGCCAGCCACATCCAGAAGGGCAAGAGGAATCCGTGACTTAAATTTGATCAAATAATTAAATAAATCCAACTAAAAGTGTCATTACTATACACAAGCAATTTCTCTCTCACCATATCTTGACATAAACAAGATGATGAATAAACAAATCTGCAGTGGCTTTAGAAACATCTGTCAGACCTCATTTATACTTAGACTGCTTCTCTGCCATAGATCTCTCTGAGTTGACCTCAACAATCGCTTCATCTAAATCATCATGTCTCTTAGACCCCATCCCGACCAGGCTGCTCAAAGACATCTTGCTCCTAATCAACACATCTATATTAGATCTGATTAACCTCTCTCTATTATCAGGCTATGTTTAGAGTCCATTATAGTACAGAAACTGCATTGGTGAAAGTCACCAATGATCTTCTCCTAGCCTCAGACAAAGGACTTGTCTCCATACTTGTCCTCTTAGATCTCAGTGCTGCTTTTGACACCATTGATCACAGCATCTTACTACAGAGACTTGAATATGTTATTGGGATTAAAGGAACCAAACTTAGTTGGTTCAAATCTTATTTATCAGAAATATTCCAATTTGTTCATGTTAATGAAGAATCTTCCACACAGTTAGTCATGGCTTTCCACAGGGCTCTGTGTTAGGTCCAATTCTCTTCACTTTATACATGTTCCCTTTAGGCAATATTATCAGGAACCATGACATAAATTTCCATTGCTATGGAGATGATCCTCAGTTATATTTATCTATGAACCCAGATGAATCAGATCAGTTGGTCAAAATTCAAGCATGTCTTAAAGACATAAAGGCCTAGATGTCCTGTCATTTCTTACTTCTAAACTCTGACAAAACTGAAGTCATTGTGCTTGGGC